TTGGTAGCTGCTGTAACAAATTATCACAACTGTTATGGCTTAAAACAACAGAAATTTATTCTCTCAGAGTTCTGGAGGTCCAAAGTCCAGAACCAAGGTGTTTTAGGGCTGTTCATCCTCTGGAGACTATAGGGGGAAGATCTGTTTCTTCCCTCTTCATCTTCTGGTGGTTGCTGGAATTCCTGAGCTTGGATCTGCATTGTCTTAGTTTCCACCTGCCTTCACATTGCCTCCCCTCCCCCCATGCTTGTCTCTCTTCTCTGCTGTCCTTCTGTAGCCCCACCCCCATGAGGGTGTATTTGATTGCATTCTGGAGCTTACTTGGACAATCCAAGGCTCAAGGTCTTTAACTTTGTCACGTGTTTTGCCATATAAGGTAAAATTCACTGGTCCTGGGGGTTAAGAAGTGAAGGATTTCTTAGGACACTTATTCTGCCTATCACAGTGAGTGAGTGACAGAGCAAGCCTGATGCCTGAGTGACAGCCAGTGCTGCCTATCTTGGGAGCTAGGGGCCTAGCCTCTCAACCTCTTTCCTGCGGTGCTACATCTGGGCTGTGGTGGGGGCAGGGATCAGAGCCACAGAGTGAAGAATGACTGGCCCTTTGACCCACTGCTGAGTACATACTCTGCAAAAACAGTCACCTGGTCCTTAAGACATTCAGATATGCGTGTTCTTTGCCATAACAAAAACTGAACACTTCCTACACATGCGTCCAGAGGGGACTGACTTAATAAAACATGACATTCCCTAGGTGGAAGAGTTAGGCTACCATTCAAAAGAATGAAATCGATTGATCTATACTGGCGTGAGAAGGTAGTCATGATATATTATAAAAAGGGAAGAAAAAATAGCCCATCCTGGCCACAATATTGTATGTGCCCATGTGTGTGGCTGTTCAAAATTAAATAAAGTGGAAATTCCATCTCAGTGGCACCAACCACATTTCAGGTGCTTGTTAGCTCGTGGGGCCGGTGGCCATGGCGTTGGTGAGCCCAGCTGAAGGTCACTACCGTCCTCTCAGAAAGGACTCCTGGGCCCAGCTGTACTCTCTGCTGTTAAGTGGCCCTAAAGAGGCCTTTCACATGATGTGATAGACTTGGGTGAATATTTGCATTTTTTATAATCAATAAGCACGTGTGCTATTATCCAAACAGGAGCACACGGGGTTGCCAAGGGAGCAGTCTATTTCTGAAGCTGGTGGTGATTTATTGTCATTCTTTAAATGTGTGTTTATGTGTGCATATGCTTTCCAAGTATGTTTTATAATGAAAATATTTTTTAAATATACCAGGAAAAAAGACAAAAGGAATCTTGGTTAGGTTGGAGCCTCTCAGCTGGGCTGGGTCCTTGACCAACTGGCTCTCCAGGCTTGGCCAGGTCACCTCGCCTGCTTGGGCCTCATCTGAGGCAGGTTGCCTGCTCTGCCTGCACTACGGGGTTGGGGTGAGATTTAGAAACTCTTGGAGGTGTAGGCCTTAGGACATGCTACTTAGAATAAAGTCCTGAGATAACTCAGGCCTGAGAGGCTAGCTGTGAATGTGCTGTGACCACTACAGGGCTCGGAGGCCTCGCCTGCTCCCCAGGCACCAGAAGCACACGGAAGTGTTTCCCTACCATGGTCAGGTCTTGGCGATTTAGAAACAACAAAAATGTTATTTTATTTATTTAGCCAGAGCTTATGAGCACTTGCTATTTGCCTGATACTGAGAGATATATTTTGTATATCTACAATCCCGAGGCAGTCATTATTAGCATGCTCATTTCATGTGGAAGAAAATCAGACCTCAGAGAGGTCAAGTAACTTGCCCAAGGCCACCCAGCCAGTAATAAGCAGTCTGAGCTTTCTCCTGTCATTCTTTTTCCTCACTGTTCCTCCTGTCCCCACCAATTGTGGCCATAGAATTCCTTATAGCAGTTTATTATCTCAGGGGCATGATATGTAATTTTGATATGAACTTTTTGACTGAGGTTCCTAACTTAGTAGCTTTGATTCTGGTTTGATGAGTTTGACAGCATTGCCAAGTGGGAATGGTCTGGAGAATTGGGCTGATCCTGGCACCGGTCAATGAATCTCCGCCTATTAGCTGTGCCACTGCAGGGAGTTTACTTAACTGCTCTCATCTTCAAATGGCATTTTGTGGGGGGCGAGTAAGTTCACCTGTTGCCACAGCACCTGGCATCATGTCAGGCAGGCAGCTGAAGCTGTCTTCTTATCTTTCTTTTAGGAAGTGAGTTCAGGCTTGGGGTCAGAGGTAAATAAACCCATCTGATCTTTTAGAATTTACGGAATGGCCTGGGGAACTTTCTGGATCAGGCATTAGGGAACCTGAGTTCTCTACACCTTGGAGATCTTGGACAAGTTTCTTTCCTCCTTCGCTCCACTTCTGTCCTGTGTAAGTGGGGCCTGACAGGCTGGACTCTTGGCATTTCCCGATTTGTCATGCTTGCTGGGGACCAGCAACAGGTCCCTTCCTTAGACCTCCTTGCCTGCGCTCCCAGCGCCCTCCTCTGGGGGGCGCTCTGGTGATGCCGAGTGGCTCTGTCCTCAGCTAGGAACCACCCCCCCCCCACCTCCATCCCCCCACCTCCGCCGGAGCCATCACTCTTCAACCAGTTGGGATCTGAGAAACACGTCAGAGGCCACTCGTGCTGTGTGGGGCTCTTGCCTCGGAGGCATGGGAGCTGCGGCCATCGTCCTTTGGGCTGAAGATCACCCTTGTTTGCAAGGTGGCCCTGTGGACCTGCCGCCGGGTGCTTTGCTGGGTCCTGGGAAGGCTGGGTAGAGCCTGGGGAGCGTGAGCCGAGTGTGGAGGGGGGTCGGGATTCTCAGAGATCCTCAGAGTCTCAGTGTCCCTGGGCAAGCGGGTGTTAGGCGGGAAGGTGGAAGGTAAACATGGGGATGTCCATTCTGCCCACCATCTGCTTCCCTGTGCTAGGACCTTGGAGTGAGAGGCTCCTGCCACACCTCGGGTTTAAGATCCTTGTAAAGGGAGTTAATGTCCTATGATTCCACAGATGAGCCACACTCCACAGGCCCTTTGAAAGAAGGACATCAAGACGAGTCCTGTCTTGACAAAGGGACTTTGCTGGCAAATGAAATCCCCAGAGGGACCCGCTTAAGGAACCTGAAGGAGAATCTGCATTTTTTTTTCATCCTCACCTCGTGTCTCTGTGGGCATAGGTCTTGATGAATTCTGTGGCACTTGGGGAGTTACTGAGACCTTCTCAGAAGCTCACAGGCCTATCATGACTTCCCCTGCATCTCTTGATCAATTTTACTAACCACTGACTCATTCTGAGCATGGGGTGAAGGGGTGAAGACAATCAGAGAAAATGGTACACAAGACTCCTGTCCCTCAAGAAAAAAGTTAAAAGGCTGGAGCAGCCATGCCTCTTTTGGCCCTTGCTAGGATAGGTGCTTTGTCACTGTGTCCACTGCATACAGACGGCCACTAGTACCTCTCTGCCCTTCCAGTTGTCTCACCCTGGGGCCTGCTCCAGCCGCCTAGCTCCTCTGCCAACCCCAGTGCCTTGTTTGATTTGGACCTGGCCACGTCTGTTCTCTTTCTTCAAAGGCTACAGCTGGGGCTGAAAAACTGTCTCCCCCTGCCAACCTGAAGCTTGACACTGTCGGCTGGATCTTGCTTTCATCATTAGTTTCTGGAGCATTCTCAGAGTTAGCTGATGAGAAGGGCGCTGACACTTCGGGGCTAAGCTGACTACCTTAAGAGAAAAGCAACTACAGATAGAACCTCAGTGTCTGCTTTTGTCTTTCACTCAGACTTCTTTCAAGTCACGCACTCAGACTCTGGATTCATTAAACAATGATGTGGAAATTATAGATCTGAAAGTGCCAAGGAGAAGAAGATAGGTCTGGGGAAAATGGCCAGCCCTTGAGGCCCTTGCATCTGCTGGGCATGACACCTGATCTCATTTCATCTCTCCCCCGAGTCCTGTGAGGTTGGCAGTGTCAACGCCTGGGGACTTTAGATTCCGTGTGTCCAAAGTCGTGCAACTTGGGAGCGGCCAAGTTAAGACTTGAACCCCAGGTCATTCCCTCTAACCACAAAACCATAAAATCTCTCCTGGGCTGCTACAGGGAAACAGTATTCTGGGACCCAGCCCTGCAGAACAAGTTGGATTTAGATAAGCAAAGAGCAAAAGAAAGACAATTCTGGGCCGGGGGTGGGGTGGGTGGGGATAGATAAGATCCAGAACCAGGAAGCAGGAGTAAGTGTGGAACAATTCCTGGTGGTCGTAAGCTCACGGGGCAGGCACGTGGTCTCAGGGCCATCCTTGTATCTCCCAGTGCCCGAGCGAGTGCCTGGTACATATGGGGGCTCAATAAATCTTTATTGCAGAAGGAGCGCACAGGTAGATATATGTGGATATCTTTTCCATGGACCATGAGTAGAGGCAGGAACTAGGTCTCAGAGATCTTTGGATGCTTCCCATCTTACTGTGGTTAATCAAGAGTAAGCACTCGGTAGCTCTATCCTGATGAGGAGACGGGTGTGAAGGAGGAGGCCCTGGTACTTTGGGAAATACTGAACAATACCTGTAAACCGACAGGACATGTCAAGGAAGGTTTTCGGTGCTGGGATGTGAGCCCTTGTGTTCTCCTGAACGCCTTGTCTTCAAAGCCATCACTTAGTGCATGACACTGTGGGGTCTGCTGAAACCCCGGTGGTGCTCAGACTGATCCACGTGCGTGGGAACCAGAGTCAGGCACAGCGAGGGGTTTTCTCGGGACTGCTCTCATGGGCCCTGGGATCATTACTTTCCCACCCTGGGGTGACCACATGGTCATCACCGAAATAAATAAATAAATAAAGGCTGTAAAAACTTGTGAATGGGAGCAAGAGGCAAATAGAGGCTCTTTCTGGGTCTCCTCTTTGTTTTCGGGAGAGTTTGGCTGGACAGTCCCGGCCAGCGACCCGTGAGACGTGGTCTCCTCTGCCCCAGGAGTTCTGGATAAAGGCTGCCCTCTCTTTCCAGGTGTTGGCCGAGTCTGTGGTGTTAAGGAAGACTGAGGGCCAGGAGGCAGCCCTGGCAGAAGCCCTTCTGCGGGCAGCTGGAACGCTCTGGTCCTACAGGTGAAGCTGACCCGTCACCAGGACTTATGACCCGCGGCCTCACTCCCATCCTGCCCCTCGAGTTCCACAAGATGGGCTCCTTCCGCAGGCCAAGACCGCGCTTCATGAGCTCCCCGGTGCTCAGCGACCTGCCCCGGTTCCAAGCTGCCCGGCAGGCCCTGCAGCTGAGCTCCAACTCGGCCTGGAACAGGTAAAGAGCGCAGGGGTGGGCCGGAGGGCTGTCATGGCCAGGCCAGGACCAGGGGACCTCTGGGGACTGTGTGAGTTTCTGCTGCTTCTGGGATCTCTGCTCTGGAAGGTGGTGGTGATGGATGAGGCAAATGACAAAGAGGGCGAGCTTCCTGGCGTCCCACGCATCTGTGAGCTTGCTTTGTTTAAGGTGATAAAGTAGACTCCCTCGAGCCCTGGCCTGTCAGAGTCGGTTGACCAGCCAGGACAGTTGGATTGGAATTTACAGTTACTGTCCACATCCCTCAGTCACACCTAGATGGAGTCATATGTGTCAACCTGCTACCCGTTGGTGGAGATTGGACGTGTGTCTGTGAAAAGCTGAGTGATGGCATGAGACAAAGGTTGTCATACCTACGAGCCACAGGTGCTCAGGAGAGGGGGCACCTCGAGCTTTTAGCAGGTGTCCAGCTGACCTTGCACACCAAGCAGGGTTCACCAATACTGTCTTATGCTTCTGTGGGCTGCTTAGTATCCACACCTATGCAGATACTCTTTGGAGAAATTAAATGCATTGGTCTTTCAGCACATTACTAAAGTCTACATAGTTTGGGTCTGTGTGGAGTTTTTTAATGAGTGGACACAGGAAGTTCAGCTCCATGGATGGGGGTAAAGTGGGGGCTCAGAAATGCTTTGGTGCCAAGTGGCCCCCTGTGCTTTAAAACAGGCCCAGATCTCCTGGCACAGATGAAATTATAATCAGCTCCTGGGCTGTCAGAGTAGGCTGTGGTCCCTGAGAATGTGGCCTCAAGCCCTAACTGTGGCCCCTCAAGGACCTAACTCTAGTTCCTGTATACCTCGAGGGGACAGTAATGGGCAAGAAGGCTAGCACACAGGAAATTCTCCCAAAGAGAGACAGGGAACCTTCATTTCACATTAACCTCAGGCCGCCAAGCTGCCCTGGGGAGACACTGGCCCCCTAGCTGAAAGCATCCCGGCTCGGGACAGCTCCTGTTGGCAGCAGGTGCCACTTTGGACTCTCCCAGGCCTAGTGGTGCTGTCCACAGTTTCCTGAGTACAGAACCCACTGCCTGCCCTTTACCTTTGCTGCTCACAGCGGGGTGGGGAAGGAAGACCCACATGACCTGCAAGAAGGTGACGGCCACTCTTGAGTCCTTTGGACTTCAGTCATCCTTCCTCCCCAAGGACCCTGAGAAGGACCTTGAGAAGGAAGTGATGGATTCCAGAGAGAAAAGGCTTAGCCATGTTAGTGCCATGGGCTCCCTGGCCCTGCCACCTGCCTTCGGCTCCCAGCCGCTTGTGGAAATGGCCCCGGGAAGCAGATTGTCTAACCAGGAGTTGTCTCTGTTTCTTGCAGCGTCCAGACAGCCGTGATCAACGTTTTCAAAGGGGGCGGCTTGCAAAGCAACGAGCTGTATGTCCTGAATGAAAACATCAGGTATGTGGTGGACACACCCAGGCCCTGTGGACCTGAGCTGGGGCCTTCGCTTATGTTTTTTGTTTTGTTTTATTTCCTGTTTGGCTCTCGTTGGTTTTTCTCTCAGCTATTATCTTTCTCCCATGGCCGTCGAGTTCTGAGACCCTTATCTGTCTAGATTTATGATCCAGAGAAGGTTCACGCATCTAGTGTGTTTTGTGGGGCTGGGGTTAGAGGCTGGTAGATGGTAGCTGTGATTTATTCTGCAAACACTTACTGTGCTCTGCTGAGCCCTTAGGCACCGTAGTAGGCCATGTGACTTGGTGGTTGGAACCAGACTGCTCGGAATTTATTGCCATTCCTCCTTTCAATAAGGAAGTCACCAGCAAACATTTGAGTGCCCCACTGATGGCCAAGTACTATAGAGCAAAGACAGATGTGAACTCTGCTTTCCTGAACTTTATGTTCAGTTGGGGAGATAATCATTAGTGTCAACTAATCACACATGTAAAATGTAAATGTGTAACAAAGCTGCTACAACACAGCTGATGTGATCTTGCCAGGGAGGCCAGGGATGGTGGAGGTGATGCTTATGCTGTGATCTGAGGGTCAGCGGCAGTTCACTAGGAAAACAGGGTTCCAGGTGGTGGATGCCGCAGGTGCAAAGGTCCTGTGGTTGCAGTGAGCAAGGAACTGAAAGAGGGCCCATGTGCAGAAAGCACCAGAAGTTGGGTAGTGTGGTTGGGTTTGTGTCTTGAAGTGGGGGCAGAAACTCAGGTGGGGCTCATCAGACTCTGCTAAAGATAGAAGGTTGAACCAGTTGGTCTTCATTTTATATCATTTTATTTTTGAGATGGGGCTCTCTCTATGTTGCCCAGGCTGGCCTTGAACTCATGATCCCGCCACTTCAGCTCTCAGGTAGCTGGGATTACAGGCGTGTGACATTGCGCCTGGCTTCCAGCCCATCTTTTAATGCCCTGGTGTACATTTCCCTCTGGGTATGTTAAGCCTAGAACGTCAAGGGTAATGACCCAACCCCGGAATGGGCACAACAACAGACAGGCTACTGTGGGGGCCCTGATTCCATTTAGTTCAGGCCTGTGTTGAGGTCAGTGGGGTGTTTTAAGGGCTCTCCTCTCATTAAAACCTTCGCAGCTCATGAGTAAACAAGAGTTGTTTTACATTTCTATCCATGTGCTTGAATTTCACGTCATAATTACATAAATGTGAAAAGAGACAGAGGAAAGAGAATCCAGCCCAAGGCCTCATTTTATTGGGGAGGAAACTGAGGCCTGAGAAGGTAAGTGACAGGGACAGAGCTGGTCACCAACCCCTGTTGCAAGAGCTCATTTTACTCCAAGGACTGAGAGTCTGGCCTTTCCTAAGGTTCTTCAGCTCCCAATAGAAGTATAAACAAATAAAACAGCGACTTAGGAATGTGCTAATTGTTCCTCACTTTGGGAGACTGATCCTGAAATTGTACTTAAAAGCTCTATTTATGAGCAGCAAGGAAAAGTCCAGGCCATGCCAGATTTCACCAGCTCTGGGATCTCTTGAGGTGCCAAGCATGTCTTGTAAATGGGTGGAGCTGGCTTGGGTGCATGGAGCGGGGTCCTGCCCTTGGTCCAGAGGGGATTCTCCTGTGGGAACCTAGGTCCAGTGATGTTTCATCTTATTTCTCAAGAAGAACCGGAAATTGAGATTTTTATGTGAAATTTCCTGACTTTCAAGTGTTCGTAAATAGTCCAAATTTCTCCAAACATTGATGCAGGCCAAACAAAATACATCTGTGGGCTGAGTGTGGCCAGCAAGCTACCCGTTGCATAAGGTGCCAGGGGCGGCTTTGCTGGTGGGGGTGCTGCGTCCCAGACAGCTCCAGACACCAGCTCATCCAGCCCTTTGTTATCAGTGGTTTGCAGACAAGAAGATTGTGGATGACAGAAATGAAATAACTTGTCCAGGGTCACACAGCTGTAGAGCTGGGGTCAGGATGTGATCACCTGCCTGACTTCGGCACCTGTATGAGTGTCTCATTCTGCTACAACATATTCCAAAGACTGGATGGATGAAGCAGCAGAAGTTTTTTATTGATTTCTGGAGGCTGGGAAGTCCAAGATCAAGTTGCTGGCCAATTTGGGACCTGGGAGAGGGTCCACTTACTGTCTCTTGGGTGGCTACCATCTCACTGGAGAGAGAGGAAGGTCTTTGGTGTCCCTTCCTATAAGGACACTAGTCCATCATGATGGCCGTGCACTCAGGACCCCCCTCTGAACCCCATCACTTCCCAAGGTGATTTGGAGGCGGGGACCTCTAAATGCCATTCCACTGGGAGTTAGGGCTTCAACACAGGAATCTGAGGGGAACATGGTTCAGTCCATGGCCCCACTCTTGCTCGTGTCTTGTAGAGTTGGTGGGAAGCTGGTTAAGCTGATGGTTCCTGGTTTTTCTTTCTGGCATCATTCCTTTTATGAGGCCTCTGTGAGCCCGTCTCTCGTGGCTGCCGATTCTTAACTCCCCACTGAGGAGTGGTCCTCCTCCAGCCCTCCTGTTATGGTTTAGATATGACGTGTCCCCCCAAACCTCCAGTGTTAAAGCGGGAATATTCAGAGGTAAATGATTGGATTAGAAGAGCTGTGACTTAATCAGTCCATCCTAGTTTGAATGGACTAACACGGTGGTCCTTGTGGGCAGGAGGGGCACGGCCAGAGGTGGTGAGTCACTGGGGTTGTGACCTGCAAGGGTTCATCTTCCCTGTGGCTCCTGCTCACCTCTTCTCTGCCTCCTGACTTCTCGATTGAGCTTTCTTCTGCCAAAACCCTCACACCATGATGTTCTGCCACACCCTGGGCCCCGAGCAATGGAATCGGCTGACCACGGACTGAACCTCTGAAACCATGAACCGAAATAAACTTTTCCTCCTCTAAGTTGTTCTCATTGGGTATTTTGATCACAGTGGCAAAAATCTGACTAATGCTTCTCCTTTCCAGTGTTGGGGTACCATTGGATGCACCTCTGAGTTTTGATTTTCAGACTGGTGGGAACTACGGATGGTTGGGTTGATGCTATCTGGACATACAGGAATTGAGCCCAGAATAAGTCATTGCCTTTAGAAACCAGGGCTTGGGCTTCCTTTGCATCTGGGCCTTCCATCCTCTGGCTTCTCTTCCAGAGTGGCTCAAGTTGAGACAGGTTTTACATCACAGGGCCTCAGAGAATAACTGGGAACCCGCCCTATATGGGACCTAGATGTCTCAGGATGCATACAGCAACCTGAACCACATGTGCCCCCACATCTGCAAGAACTTCTGTGGGAATAAACACAGCTGCCCGCATTTCAGGATCTAAAACACTGAAGCGAACATGCTCTCTGGCCATATTATAATGGATGCTTTGGTTTGGGCTTGTCCTTTTGTAGAATAGATCCATAATCAGGCTGAAGCATGAGAATGGAGACACAGGACAGTGGGAAAGTCTAAAAATGTGGAAGGAGCGAAGGCTAAGTTGTTCCCGAGCTTATTTTTCAATCCATTGTGACAGCCTTGCTATGTGCCAGAGGGTCTCTCTTCAGTAGAATGTTTTCATTGAAGAGAGCAGTTTCTGACTCAGATCCTGGGGCTCAAAAGTGGTTTATCCATGTGACCTTGGACAAATTGCTTTATTTTCCTGTCTTCCCCCGCCCCGGAAAAATGAGGAGGATAAAAAAAAATGGCACCAACCTCATGTGGAGGGAGAATTGAGACACTGAAGTGTCCTTAGTAGAGGACCCAGTGCAAAATAAATGGTTACTAAATGCTAGTCATTATTATTATTATTATTGGGAACACTTAGGAACAATAAAGTGACATACAATACTCATGTGGGCACAATTAGTGTGACTAATTGCCTCATGAATAGCACCACATAAAGACTTCCCCAGCAGTTTGGATGAGGTGAGCTCACTTTGAACTGGGGAGTCAGATGGCTCCATCAAGGGTGTTCTTGGAATCGAAGCTTGCGTGAGACAAGGTTCTTAAAAGGAGAGCCAGCGGCTTCTCCTTTCTGCAGGGACAAGAGGAAATGCCTCTCTCAGTTCTCGGTGCTACTCAAGCAAGACGGTAATAAACTTTTTGATGGTTTATCCAAGTCCAGTGTCAAAGCTGAATCATCTTCTCCCATCACCTGTCCCAGCCAACCCTTCTAACTGCGGACTTAGGATGGACCAGGGAGTGTGAATTTATGTAAAGGTTAGCCCAGGCAGAGGATAGCTGTGAAGGCAGATGTTTTGTGTAACTGGGTCTTATACTGTATTCATTACAAAAATGGACCTTTTCTCTTCAAATGTGTCATTGAGAACGAACTCTAGTTTGTATTTTAGCAGATAACCTTCGAGGTAGCTATGAGGAAGAGCTCTGGACTGAGGATAGTTAAGTTCTGGAATGGAATATTGAATTTAGAGACAAGTGTTTCCACACTTGGAGAATAAATCCATCAGAAACCTCATCCCTCAACAACATGGTGGCCAGTTTTCCCCAAATAAAAATCAAGGGTACATGGTCTGTCGATATGAAAACCATAAATTAGAATATTTTCTACTGAAACTACCTTAGGAAGCAGAGTTTGCTTGATGTTATGTCCCTAAAATCAAGCAAGTGACCTTTCCAAGTAGACACGTTCTGTGAAATGGCCAAGTCATCACAATCCACAACTCTGGCTCCCCCGAGTTCCATCAGCCTGGACTTGGGCTGGTCCTGGGCACTCCTGTGTGGATTCTCTTTGGGCCTTGATGTGGTTCCTAACACCCCTCTGCAGTCTCACCTCTGATGTGGCTACTGTTGGCTGGGGCCAGGTCTGGCTTCGAGGTGGGGCCTCCAGTTAACTGGGGGTGGCTGAACTTTGACACAGGGACCTCGCTCTTCCTAAACTGGCACCTCTGCTGCTGACTGATGTGACCAGGAAGAGTTAGAAAAGCATGGAAAGATTTATGCTAACCGGTTCTAGTGAGAAGCTCTGCACATAGGTGGTTAGGGGTGCCTTCCCTTTTT